TTAGTGCCAATGCCTCTCCAGCAGCGGGATAGTTCGTAAACGTCTCGTCGATTGGGGGCATTGACACATACCCATGTTCACGCATCCCCTTCGACATCAGCATAGTTTGCTCGCTGCTGACGATGGATGCGTGCAGAATATGGGTTCTTCCATGCCTTCTTGATCTCAATATGCAGATCAAGAAGTAAAGGAAGGCTCACGGGAGCTGGGGAGTTATAGCCAGAAAAGAACCGCTCATCCAGCCTGCCGCGAACGGCTCCTTCCTTCACGCAATCCCACGGCAGCTGAAGCCTCGCTGAAGCGCGCTCCATAACACCCAATAGCTCATCATACGCGGGGCGGGGAGGCTGTGAGGGTTCAGGCTGTACCTCTTCTTCACCCTCATCAGTCATCTCCTGCTCTCTTGGGCTAGGTGCCAGTAGAGCACTTGCTGCTGTATCAGAGGATGTAAGAGATGACACATCCTCGTCCAGCAGCTCACCCTCGTGAGCTTCTGATGGGTGTGAGAGAGAAACACCTCTCTCAAAAACTCATCAGCGAGCTCCATCTGTGAACCCCATGATCCGAGTCTCCGCAGTGCATCAGCACGAGTGGGACCCGAACCACTGGAGAAGAGGGCCAGATGAGAGTGGAGTTTTCTTAGAGGAAAACTCTCACATTCTGTACAGTCAGGTCTCTCAAGAGCTGATCGTGCGTGCTCTTCGCCCAAGCAGTAAACGCACAAGTTGTGTGCGTCATCTGAGACACGGATCCACACACTTTTTGAAACACTTATCACTTGCCATAATTGTTCTTACCTTTTTCAGGTGATTGCAAATCAGACAAAACAGTCCCTGAAGACGAAAAGAGGATGACATGTTCTCTAGGCACCCCTTTTATACTTCTGGGTCGCACTAGTAGTGACGTCATGGCTGTGGCCGGTCAAATTCGATTGCCGTGATTGGACAGCTTTTCAGACACCAGTTCACGTGGAGGGCGTTCCCCACAGCATCATCGACGCAGTGCAAGTTCCCTTTCGAAAGGGAACTAGTTTTATTTCAAGATACTGAGTTTTGTGTGAAAATTATGATGCTACTACACTTTTATTGCACCACTAAATCTCACTGTGGCCCCAAGATATTCTGCAGTGTGTTAGTAAAACAGATATTTTATCCCAGTGAACCATGAGTGAATTTTGTCACCACAGACGCACATATAGATTGAATATAAGTATTGGACACAGGCTTTACTTATCTAAATGTTGACATATCATGGATTTGTTTTTATATACAGCAAATTATTAATCCATGTTTTTTCTCCAAACCCCACCCATAGAAGAGATTACTGCTCAACTCAATCACGTAGTCACCTATCCAGAAATGTTCAGACTTGCAGAAAAAATAATTGCTGGACATGGCTGTTTATCAGGCTAACAATGCTATAGGTTAAGGTTAGGGGTAAGAATTTGGGGTTTATGTTTAATAGAATTTTATATTAGGGGACAAATCTGGTAGTAAATATAGTAAATAAACATACACACGCATACACACACACAGACACATTTGTTAGGTTTTCATGTTTTATTATTTTATCTAGTGGTTTTCAAGTGCTCAAGTCACACATGCACTGTTGTACATGCACCGTCCACGTGGTCTCAAAAATGCAGGATACTCTGGACTTTAATCTGTAAGGCACAAAAAGCATTGTCATTTAAGTTAGCTAAGTTGAACGTAAAAATTACTGTGAGCCTCAGGCCACTTGTAAATCCATTACATGCAAACTGCTTTTTGTTTGTTATAATGTATTGTAAAATGTAAAAGAATGTTATTGAACATAATATATCATTTGTATACATAATAATAATATATAATGTGGTAGAAATTATAATGTGGTGGACATTTTCATGTTGGTTCAGAGTAAACAAAATATTCTTGTGATGTATGTAGTTTGTTGGACACTATTATTGAACATCTAGTGAGTGAGAAAAGTGTATTTTAAGAGAGACAATTTTCTGAAATTCCACAGGCAACATGACATCATGACTTTGCGTAAACATACACGCCACTTTCAAGTCAAGTGGCGTGTTATCTATACGCATTTTGAGCTATCCGCGTGTATGTCCACGCCGAAATCTTTTGCGTGTATGTGTACGCCGTTAAATGTCCGAGTGATTCCGCGTGTATGTGTACGCCGTTAAATGTCCGAGCGAAACGAAGCAAAATCTATATCTACATCTGTGGAGCGATATTTCTTTTCCTAGGATGGTAGGAGAAGACTCATAAATGGTATTAACCCCAGTGACGGGTAGGTTTAGGGACGGGGCTGGGGTAGGTCATATATTTATATATACAGTAATGTAGTTAAGTCAAAGGCGTTGATAAACACGCTGAAAAGCGATTATGCGTGTTGATAGCACGCCAAAAATAGAAATACGAATTCGCGTGTCATACATACGCCATTTCATGAGATCAGTCTGCCACAGGGCCAAAAGCGCCTGTGGTTGAAGAAACACCCCCTCACTGGTGACCCAACCAACTAATCTTCTTTAAGGCTCTATTTCTTTTCCATTCAAGTATACGTACACAGCCTGCTAGACCTCTTTAATTTATCTTATGTGTCAGTGTGTGTGTGTGTGTGTCCTGAGTCAGCACTGTGCTCTCAGCATTAGAAAGCTCAAGAACAGCAGCGCTCTCCACTCAAGCTGTGTCTCACACACACGTGCGCACGCACGCACGCACACACACCACACGCACATACATTACAGATCTGAGAGGGACTTACTGACTTTAGTCTACAAGCCTATAAACATGTTCAGACATCTCCCTCTGCACACACACTTATAAGCCGTCCATTAGGTTATTAACGCAGTCATAATTTACTGATGACATCACAGCACATTTATCTGTGTGTATGTGCGGTTTATTTGTGTAAGGGCTCAGAATAGTTGTATTGATTTTGCAAAAATTTCTGGACACACGTGTCTAAAATTTTCTGGACACACATCGTTCATTATTTTTTTATAATCCACATGGGTATGAATGGAATCTTATGAAATAATGTCTCCTTACCTACGGTAAAAGTTTAAGAACTGGTCAATAAAAAAAATTGACCACCAATCTTAATATTGAGAGTTGTGAACAGTACAGCGGATTTTGTGTGTGTTGTTATTCTCATACTTATGATGTTTATCCCCAGAAAGTGGTTGATTAGGAGAGGGGGTCAAGAAAGTTATAGAAATAATGAAAGACATCATGGGATGATGAAAAAATTGAGAAGCTGGAGTAAATAAATGTCAACTCAGCAATCGGGAGGGATTGAAAGAGAAAGCTGATCAAATGTGTATGAAGGAAGTAAAGAGAGGGATGTATAGTACGAAAGTGTAGGCGCGTTGAGATGAAGCAGAATTAATGTCCTGAGACAGCACTACAGAGAGAGCTGTACAACCAGCGCTTGACATTAACTTTTTTGCTCACTAGCCAATGTGGCTAGTGGTTTTCAAAAGTTACTAGCCACACAGCATTTTTACTAGCCACTTTTTTGTTGTTGTGAAATTACCTGATTAAAGTTGACTATGGCGTGCTAAAATTAACTAGAACTAGATTTACAACCCTTTTAAATGTAAAACCACTGTACACACGCAAATCAAGACTACATAAATGTATAACAATACAGGTCATTATCATTAGCTCTGATAAGGTTGTGTGTAAAGCTCCTTTTTTTAAATAAAACCATGTATTAAGATAAAGACATAAAAAAGTAGCTTCTTATTACATAATAAAAGTGGTACATGGATGTAGAAGATTAATAAAAAAAAAGATAAAAAACTAAACTGAAAAAAAAAAACTTTAGCATTAGAAACACTGTCTGTTTAAATATCAGACTCAAGACTCGGAATTACTTTGAGCCCCGATGGGAAATTCTTTGTTACAAGTTCATGTCAAGTTCCACCGACTTCATGAGGACCAGAGATTTCACCGCCACACTTTCTTGTAGCGAACCAGCTGCCTTCAGCCGTTTAGTCGAAATGCTTCCGATATGACCAATTGAAAGTTCATGGTCCTTTACGGTTTCAACTTTAAAATTACTTGTCCCAACCACAAAAGATGCCCCCTTTACCTTTTCACCGCCGTACGCCCGACAATCGGAGCAATACATTATTTTGTTTGCTAGATCATATACCAGCCATTCTCGATTTAACTTCCACTTTTCGTTGAAAAGTCTTTTGTTTTTCTTTGTCTCTTCTTCCTTTTTGTTTTCATCGTCAGGTTTTCTCTTGTGTGTTATCTGCTCACCGGGTTTTGTTACACCTTTGATATGTCGCCACATAACTTCACCAAGCAGGGCAGCTAGCTGTCTCTTCGTTTCAGTCAGGTTTCAGTGTTGTCGGTCACTAGCGCGCAAGCGCAAAGCAGCGCTGCGTGCATGTAATACATGGGAGTTGTAGTGTCGCGCCTTTTGAAAAGACTACAATTATTCAACCCGCCAAAGTGGCTAGTTGGAGTGACTCTGTTACCCGCCACGAGCAAAATCCACCCGCATTTGGCGGGTTGGCGGGTGTTAATGTCAAGCCCTGTGTACAACCGTACAGAGACAGTGACAAGAGAAAGAAGGATTTTCACACCAAAGGCCTTGTAGAAATGGCCACAACCTCAACCTATATATTCTAAAGCACATATCTAGATTTTATCTGGCAACACAACACAATACTTAAATAATTTTTTGTTACTTTTGAATGAAAAATTATTTATGTTATGTTACAAATAATTCATAATTTTCAATATTCTGACTTTCTCTTGAATATTGAGTTCACTGAACAAAAAATGATGAATTTGAATGAACCAATTTTTGAGTTACGACTTACTACTGTTCTAAGGAGGTTTCTGTGCAGTATAGTGTAGCATATTTTAATTTCCATCTCTATCAGCTTCTAATTTTCTTTTCCAATCTCTGTATACTGTATGAACAAAATGCAAGTCAGGGTTTAAAACTCACTCACCCAGTGTCTCTCTGTTTCTCCTTAGGTGGTGTGAAGAATTGTTGCAGAAACAGATCGGCCCCACCTCACCATGCCTTTGTCCTTCAGTTCATCCCGCATTTTCCCAATCTCCTTCATTCCCTTGATCCTCCCTGTCCTTCTCCTGTCTTTCTCCATCCCTTCTCAAGCTGACTCCCAAGATATAGCCCAATCTACCTCCAACTGTTCCCAGAATGACGTGTGTGCAGACGGGGTCCTTTTGCCAGTGTGGAATCCTCTAAATCCCTCAGTTGGTGACAAAGTGGCTCGTGCCATTGTGTACCTAGTGGCACTAGTCTACATGTTCTTAGGGATGTCGATAATTGCTGACCGCTTCATGACTGCCATCGAAGTTATAACTTCTCAAGAAAAAGAGATCACTACAAAGAGACCCAATGGTGAAACGGTCACCACGACAGTTCGCATATGGAACGAGACCGTCTCCAATCTGACCCTCATGGCTCTGGGTTCATCAGCCCCTGAGATTTTGCTTTCGGTGATTGAGGTCTGTGGGCATAATTTTGAGGCCGGTTCTCTTGGTCCCAGCACCATCGTGGGCAGCGCTGCCTTCAACATGTTTGTGATCATTGGCATCTGCGTCTACGTGGTACCTGATGGTGAAAGGCGGAAGGTCAAACATCTTCGTGTGTTTTTCGTGACTGCGGCGTGGAGCATGTTTGCCTACGTCTGGCTCTATCTTATCATCTCGGTGTTCTCGCCTGGTGAGGTGGAAGTGTGGGAAGCAGTGTTGACGTTCCTCTTCTTTCCTCTCTGCGTGGTCCAGGCCTGGATCGCTGATCGGAGATTGCTCTTTTACAAGTATGCTCGCAAACGCTACCGAACCGACAAGGGCCGTGGAATTATTGTGTCCGAGGGAGGGGAGGAGATTGGCAATGAGGCAGGATTCACAAAGATGGACATGCTTGAAATTGATGGAATCACAACACATCTGGATGGAGTCCTGGGAGGGGAAAGTGGGCATGGAGGACGGGATCAAGAGGACGAGGCCAGGAGAGATATGGCCAGAACTTTAAAGGAACTGAAGCAAAGACATCCTGACAAGGACATGGAGCAGCTCATAGAGATGGCCAACTATCAGGTTAAAAAGAAGAAAGATATTAGCACATTTTAATTATTTAATAATTTACCATATTCACATCAAATTTATTTTATAAAATTATAATTGCATAGTTATTATTTATTTATTAATATAAATATTGTTTTTTTTATCCTCTTAAATATTAAGAATATTAAAATTCACTGCACAAAAAAAAAAAAAAAAAAAAAAAAAAAAAGTAGTTTTAAACAGACCTGCTACCTATTTTTCAGTTGCAACCAACAAGTAGAAACCACCGGTCTTGGGAGTTTCTGATGCAGCATATTTTAATTTTCTTCTTTAAAAGAACAATTAAATTAAAACTTTCTTCTCTTCTTTGTTCTCATTTTCGTTTGAAGGTAATCTACAGACGTGCTTTGAGATATTACAAAACAACATGAAATTTTGATCCTAAACAAATTATTGTTGTGTGAATATTACAGAATTTGCCCAGGATTTGTGAAAATTTGCATTAATCTCTATTCAACTCTAAATAGATCTAATCTAAAGTTGTATGACGTTCTATTCTTTGCAGGCCTGTTCATTTTAAACTGCTGTGTGTATTTTATATTTTTATAATATTAAAGTACTCTCCTAGTTTAGTAGACATTTGTAAGTAAACCATTCATAGATTTCCCCAAAACTATAAACACTGTCTTGTGCTATTTTAAACATTGTTCTGTTTATTTTATGTGTACATGCACTTTGACTCTTAGCTGTCAACTGGACTATAACAATAGCCTACTTTTTAAATACGTTTAATAATTTTTTTTTAAATGTCAAGTAAATGCTTTATTTCAACTGAAATCGCACCAGATCTGGATAATGTGGTTGTAGCATGTGTGCACACTGCACATTAGTCGGATAGTCAAATGAAAACGGTTGCTTATTGGTTCTTTAGGCTACTCATTGACTCCCAATCGCTTATCAATGGTGTGAGTTTGGTGGCGACACCAGCTGTTTGTCTAAACAGTGCAAGACTAGGGAATTGTTTGGCAAACCTTTTCGAAAACAGTGATTATTTTTGAAAATTCTTTTTAGTGCTGATTGTGGTGCGGAATTTACATGCTGCAAATTTAAAATAGTTGTTTTACAGCTTGAGAAAGCAGCCTGAAACTTAACTGCAGGATAAAACAAACTTACCCAAACTTACCTTTGCAGGTTCTGGTACAGCAGCAGAAGAGCAGAGCCTTCTACCGCATTCAGGCGACAAGGATGATGATTGGTGCTGGGAACATTTTGAAGAAACACGCAGCAGATCAGGCCCGTAAAGTGGTCAGCAGTGGGGAACCCCAAGAGCAGGAGGATGACCCTCATGTCACAAGAATAGACTTTGAACCTGCCCTCTACCAGTGCTTTGAAAACTGTGGGTCCTTAAAACTTTCTGTGCAAAGGCATGGAGGAGATGCCGGTTGTACTGTTAAGGTGAGTTTAAAGTAAAATACTCTTTAGTTTATTCATTTTTACTAGGGAATAAGATACTTCTAAACTTATTCTCTGATCTTGACTATTAAATGATGCAAATTATGGAACAGATTCTTTCGTTTGTTTATTTAATGAGAACAAGGAAGATCTTTGATCCTTTCAAATGTTTATTCATGCGAAACTCCAGGTGGATTATCGCACAGAGGACGGCACAGCCAATGCCGGTTCTGATTATGAATTTGCTGAGGGCACACTCATCTTCAAACCTAGCGAGAACCTTAAAGAGATCACCGTCGGCATTATTGATGATGACATCTTTGAGGAAGATGAATACTTCTACGTCCGCCTGAGCAATCCCCGTATAGTTGGGTGGGCTGATGGACATCCTATTGCTTTGGAGACTGGAGCACCCGCCCCTAGCGCAGCCCTTGGTGAGGCCCACACGGCGACCGTGACCATCTACGATGACGACCACGCAGGAATTTTTACATTTGAGAGTGAATCGATACGAGTTAGCGAAAGCATCGGCATCATGCAGGTGAAGGTCCAGAGGACATCAGGAGCACGTGGTCTGGTGGCAGTACCGTACCATACAGTGGATGCGACAGCTTGCGGAGGGGAGGACTATGAGGAAGTGTCTGGAAAACTGGAGTTTCAGAACGACGAGACAATGTAAGAGGTTTCTCTCAGCTAATGTGTTTGTGTGTGTGAGAATGTGTGTGTCTGAGTGTTTGTGCCTTAATTTAGCTCTTTCTGTCAGGAGATTGAACCGCATTAGTGACTCTTTACAGTGAAAATTATTTTAGGCACACAGTAGTTAAAGCAACCTACTATTTAAGAACCACTGATCTAGGAAGTATATTTTAATTTTCTTCTCTATCAGAAAATTGACTTCAAACTTTCTTGTCTTCTCTGTTTTCATTTTGTCTAGATTTCAGAAAACAACATAATATTGTGATCCTAATCACATTATTGTGTGAATTTGCATCAGAAAACAACATAATATTATGATCCTAATCACATTATTGTGTGAATTTCCATGAAGCTCCATCATTTGCAGGCCAACACATTTAAAACTGCTGTGTGTAATTTTTACGACAGGCCTATAATGTAATCTCCCAGTTTAGTATGCAGAGACAATTGTAAGTAAGCTATTCATAGATTTTCCAAATGCTCTGTCTCTGTGTTGCTTTAAATGTTGTTCTGTCAATTGGAGTATATTAACATGCAATTTAAAAGTAGATTTAAACCCGACTGTAACAATACTTTTTTTAAAATGTCATGTAAATGCTTTAGTTCAACTGAAATTTGCACCATTCCATTTTAAGTGAAGTTGTACTAACAGACCTAGATTGCACAGCTGGAGTGAACCTTCACTGTGAAAATGCTTTTAGGGACAGTAAAGTTATTATATTGTGCGAGTTTGGATTTTTCAGGCAAAGTTTATTTTAAAGGGGTCATATAATGCCTATTTTGTACAAGCTAATATGATTCTTTAGGGTCTAAATTAAAAGTTTGTAATATACTTTAATTAAAAATTCTCATTAGTATTGTAAGAAAACACTTATTTTACCTGGTCAAAAACAGCTCTGTTTTCAGCACGCCGTTTCAGTGCATATGCCTTTAAATGATCATGAGCTTTGCTCTCCCCGCCCCTCTGTTCTATGCGTACACCGTTTGTAACACAATAACCATAACGCGTTGTTCATTATAAACGTGGGATTATGAATTATATTGAGAACGTCGTACATAGAAAACATGCCATAATGTACCCTGAGTGTAAACCTTAGACTCATTCATCGTGAAGCATGCAAGCGATTTGCAAAGATATAAATATTAATATAAAGGTTAATAAAACGTTACACTCACTTCAGTTGTTCTAGAGGTTCAGCAGGAACACGAATAGCTGGTACCAATCCTTTATTCAGGAGTAGCTTCTTAGCAAAACCAGCTTTATACTGACCCTCGTTTATAAAGCAGTCTGCTGAGAAATGATTCGCGCAAACATGAAAGCATTGACGTTGCTCGTGGGGAATATTCCCTTCGAAAACAAACACAGCCACTGCGTCTTCAGCGGTTCGGATTTGGGAACATTAAAATGACTGTGTTCGTTATTACACCCAAGAACAGAACACCACAATCGCTTAGACGCCATTCTGCTCATAGACAGTGCTCCAGCATATCAACAATGACCGCGCCGGTCCGCGCAGACTATGATTGACAGCTGGCTCACGAGCGAGGGCCGGTCTGTGTTGAAACCCGGCTGTCAATCAACAATCGCGGGAGGGGCGTCCGACCGTGTGACGTCACACGGTCGAACGGCTCGATTTGAGGCAGGGGAAAACATATAAGGAGATTAAAATAAAAACACTGGATGGATTTTTATCATTATATGATGATTGTGTACAGGCACTGCCAACACACATTTCAGTACAATCAACTTGAAAAAGTGCATGTACCATTATATGACCCCTTTAAGGAGGGGGGGGGGGTCTCTTTATAATCACTAAAAAAGCTGTCACTCATCTTCATCGCAAGTTCCGTTATAATCAGTGAAGCTGACTGCACAATGAATCTCTTATTTACATAACGCCTACACTATGTTAGCAAAAACTCAGGCGGATTGATCGGTGAGTGAAATCTGATTGACCATTGGTTTAAAAAAATCAACAGATAAGTCTGTGATTGGCTTCGTTGCTCAACGCTGCAAAAACATATTGTAAATAGAAACCTTTGATACTCTTCAGAGCGTAAACACAGATATGCACTGGAGCATTTGCCAAATTTGTTTCGACAATATGCTATCATTACGGAGAAAACTGATCCTAGACCAGCAGTTATGGGCAGATTTTCCCTCTAAAAGCAATCAGGAGGAGCAGCAGGTAGTGTTTTGAATGAGAAAATTCCACGCTAGTCTCGATGGGACTATGCTAGACTCGATGTCCAGTCGAGACTTAATATATATACTGTATGCTTATATATATATATATTAAGCATGTTGGGAACATACAATCGATTTGGCCGTTTGACGTGCCTCAGGCTGTAATACACAAAATAGCAGGTGAAAGTGTTCAGGTAAAGTTTGTGACAGTCTACAGCTAACAAAGGGGTTATATGGTGTCCTTGTGAGATGACCTGTTTCTGTGGGCCAATTTAACCTTAAGGTAATGCTGGTAAATTACTTCAAGCTGTGGATTATGGTTGGTTTAATATTGAGAAAGCTTGCAATAATGTGTAATGCAGTTTCAACTGTGCATAACATTTGTGTCATTCAAGCCACAGGTAACAGCAGTAGTCGTTGGCTGATCATAATATAAGGCGGATATTACATTAAATGTAACCATATTGATTTTCCAATATTAATAAAAGGCTACAGCTGTTGTTTTTTTGTTGATCTGTTGTTAAAAAAAGGTTCGTAAAAGCTTTCTTATGTCTAATGCTTCATTCCCTAGTCTATAGTAAATATGTCATCATCTACACTAAGATCAGAAATGCCTTAGTGATGTTTTTTTAGATCAGTTATGAACATACTGTAAGTTAATTTATTTTTGGTATCTGGATCCTAACATAAATACAACTGTGATAGTTCCTCAGTCCCAGAAGCAAAAGTTTTTTGTGATAGATAGATAGATAGATAGATAGATAGATAGATAGATAGATAGATAGATAGATAGATAGATAGATAGATAGATAGATAGATAGATAGATAGATAGATAGATAGATAGATAGATAGATAGATAGATAGATAGATAGATAGATAGATAGTTTCCAAAATATATTTTAAAAAAACACTCCAAATCAACATTTGAAAGCCTTAGGGGGGTTATGGTGGTGAGCCCTGGTCTGAATTCGAAGAGATCAGACAGAGGACAAAGCGAATGGCTTGTATCATTTTTGTTACAATCCGTCTCTGTTGATTTATTATCCAATAAGCCTTCACAACAGGAGCACACAGGAGGCAGACCTACAGCAAAATGAAACAGAAAATTCACACACACTCACACATCATGGGGTCTGTAATGGTCAAAGGAGGGCTGGAGACAATCAGCAATATTCTGTATTTCAGTGTTGATACACTCTCCTCTCATATCTCTACTTCCCTGGCACCTGTCTCACAATCTTCCCTCCCTCTTATCCTTTTCAATTCAAGTCACTCTTACTTTCAGTCCTGCTGGAAAAACCAGGTCAAATACCAGCTTAACCTTCTTGTTCTTTTGAGATTGATTCGTGTAAAAATAATGAAAGTAATTTTCGAAAATGACCTCTTATTTTCCCTTCAAAAGTTCATCTGACCTATCAAAACCCAATAGACTGACATTATTAAAGCTGGATCTCTCTATTTAACGATAAAGTAGGCATGTGGTTTGAGAAATGTCACTTGTTGTCATCTTGTTGAGCAAAATTTGACCCAAGCAAAAACACATACTAGAAAAATTAAATAAAATAGTCAACTGATAGGAGTGTACTGCTAGTATGTTCATCGCTCAGAGAATCAGATGACATGAACACTCATTGCATTATCTAATGGTCTGGGGTCTCTGAGACCCTATACATAATGTAAATATAAATAATGTAAATATAAATAATGTAACATTCTTACAGGAAAACTGTGTGTGTTATAAAGTTTATAATCAAGTCTCATTAGATTGAGAAAAATCATGTGCATGAACCTAAAACTTCAATGTCAAAGGGATATTTCACCCTAAACTGAACTTTTTTTGCCGTCATTTACTCACCCTTGTGTTGTTCCAAACCCATAAGTTTCGATGAAGATATTTGAATGAAACCTTATAGATTTCTGTCCCTCTGTTGAAAGGTTCATAATTTCAGTATTTATGGGTTTCATTTTTTGGGTGAACTAAACATTTAAGAATTTAAATGGCTAGAAAACAGAACATGAGGGTTTTTTGGAAATGTCAAGGCCCATTCACACCAAGGATGATAACTATAAAGATAACAATAAAGATATAGTTCTAAAAGTTCTATCATATTATCATTCTATCAGTTCTATAATCGTTCTCAAAATTCAAGAATAGCAGAGTTCACACCAGAGCTATAACGATAACCGCACAGAGAAATTATATCATTGGAATCACTTTCAGAACGATTTTTATCCAGCTGATGAACAGTAAAAACATTTACAGCCAATCAGAATCCATCCTGCTGTACTAAGCTCAAGCATTTATGTACTGACCGAACGAATCGTCCGCTATGTGTGGACGCTATAGTTATCTTTATAGTTATCATTCTTGGTGTGAACGGGCCTTTATTTGTGTTTGCTGGTGTGAGATGGCCTATAGTCCTAACTATCCTGAGCAAGATCGTCTATCATGTTGAAACCAAGTCCACCTGCTGGTAGTCTTGTAGATTGAGCGTCTGTTGACCAGCAAATGACCAGCTAGAAACCATTTATCTGGGTTTTCCAACAGGGTTTCACTCTCTGTCTCTCGTCATTTCGTCAGTTTACTACCCTTTCTCAGTTCTGTCTCCCAGCCTTCCATTCATCCATCATCATTCATTTAAAGCTGCAGTCGGCAAGTCTGGCAGATTGAGTGGACTTAGGCAAAAATTTTAATACAACTCTCATGCCCCTCCCCCACTATCAACGGATACCCTCCCACCGAGTTCGTGCTCGTCGTGTGCACCAGATTATCTGTGAACACGCCCGTCT